ACCCCACCCCGCCCCGCCACGCCCTGCCACGCCCTTTGGGCGCCGAGCCGAGCCCCGCGGGGGTCCGGTGGGTCCGGCGGCGGGGCTGCGGCCCATGGCAGCGCCACCGCGGGCATGGGGGTCCTTCGGCGGGAGCCGGCCGGGCAAGCAGGGGCGAGAGTCGCTTGTTTCCTCTTGGCCGGGGCGCGGTGCTGCGCGGTGCTGCGCGGTGCTGCGCGGCGTGGGGTGGAAGGGTTGGGAGGGGGAGCGCTGGCGCGGCTGGCGCGGCTGGCGCGGCGCCCGTGTGGTGGGGGTAACGTACACAGAGCGGCGCTCGCCGGGCGGCCCGCGCCGCCGCGCCTCACAGCAGTGCCAGGGCCGAAGGCGCGCGGTCGGACGTGGTATCGGCGCGCTGAGCGTCGCGGTGAGCGTAGCGCGCGAGTCGAGTCCAAGTGCGCGGTGCGGTGCGCGGTCGCGGTGTTCAGTGTCGTGTTCGTGGTGTTGTAGTGCTCTGTGCTGTGCGGTGTGTGTCGGGGAGGGGAGTGTCCTGTGTGGTGCCCGGGGTGTAAGAAGGACTTGGACTTGTTGGTTGCAGATGTCCTCCTGGAGAGGGGCCTTGTGAGGCACGTCGGCGAGGAGGCCAGCATGGCCATGCAACATTGCCTCGGATCGCCGCAGCAGTTCTGCCTCCGCTGGAACAACTACCAAAGCAACCTGACGCACGTCTTCGACCAGCTGCTGCAGAATGAGTCCTTTGTGGACGTCACGCTGGCCTGCGAGGGCCACTCCGTCAAGGCGCACAAGATGGTGCTGTCGGCGTGCAGCCCCTACTTCCAGACTCTGTTCTTCGAGAACCCCTGCAAGCACCCCATCGTCATTCTCAAGGACATCCGCTGGCCCGAGCTCAAAGCCGTCGTCGAGTTCATGTACAAGGGCGAGATCAACGTGTCTCAGGAGCAGATTGGGCCGCTCCTGCAAGTGGCCGAGTCGCTCAAGATCCGCGGCCTGGCCGACGTGACCGGGGAGGACAGCGACGGCAACAAGTCGACGGTGCGGGAGCCGATCCGGGACTCTGGCGCCGGTCGCGACGCCCGCGACCCCCTACGGGAGCCGACGGGGAAGGAGTCGCCGGTGCGCGACGGCCCCCGGGACCGGGACGTGGTTCGGGACGCGGTCAAGGATGCGGTGCGCGACGCGACCCGGGACTCCGGGCGCGAGCGTGACCGGGAACGTGACCGTGATCGCGACCGCGACCTGGTGACGCGGGAACTCATCACCAGAGGCTCCCCGCGGGACGCGGGTGGCGCGCGGGATGGGAGTAGGGACCCGTCCAGGGAGCGGGAGTCCTCGAGTCGGCCCCCGAGCAGCCTGGGCAGCCACGACGCCCTGCCACTGTCGCTCCCCCTGGCACTGCCGCTGTCGTCGCCACTTTACCGACACAAGAAGCGGCGGCGTCCGTCCACGGAACGCTACAGCCCCGTCCACGGCGCCTCGTCACCGGAATCAGCCTCCGCCAACATGAACCACGCAACCAACAACGGCACCCCGATAGGCACCCCGGGCAGCCCCAGCCACGGACACGGACTCGGCGCCCCTGGCACTCCCGCCGGCGGGCTGGCGGGCGTGGGCGGGCTGGCCGAGCCCC